CAATACTATCGCTGAAAGGAGTGTTCAACCACTCGTTCCCCACGCGACTAGTTATTCTGTAGGTCTCTCTCTCTCACTGTGGGGCATTGCACGTCGACCAATTTGTGTACCCTTACATAGCGGCCTTGTGGCTGAGTGAATGATTGTCGGATGAATATTTTCGGCAAAGGCAAGGTAGACTAGAATGACCAATTCTGGCTCATTAGCCGTCATCAGTCAGTCATACGCAGCCCCAGGTAGTGCACCACCCGATCTAAACCGGCAAGACAACGAGCCCGTGGTTCAGTAGTTTGAGCGGAGGACTTCTGATCAACGGGTGCCGAGTTCGAGTCTCGGGTGGTGTAGCACCTGGGGTTGAGTATGACTAACTGATGATGGCCAATGTGCCAGAAATGTCGAGTTCCAATTTCCCTCGTCTTTGCTGGCCATTTTCATCAAACTAAACTACTAGGCGCTGCGTGGCTGCTGGCGGTGATCGAGAGTGAGCCGAAGGGCAAAGTGGGACAAGCGACTTCCGTTAGCGATCGGTGAGTGTTAGTCGACGAATGACAATATTTATATTTTCTGTCTGGACGCTAAAGTACCTCTCCCTCAAATTTTAGACTTCAAAGGGAAGCGTTCGGCTTTTTCAAAACAAAATCAATAGCAGAATAATGTTGAGCCCGAATTGTCGTTACATTTGCATTAATAGTGCCCAAAGAAAATTCTGTATGCACTCCGCCTAAAGAAAATCGCACATTTATCTACACCTTGACGAAGACACTACACAGTATTCATAAAGTTTTGCAATGAATGGGGACACCGTACTATGGTAGAAATGACTATTTGAGTCTCCCTTGTCGTTGCCGGAAATGTTCATCTGCTGCTGTGCGGGGCTTGAGAGTCCAAGGCACAATGGGACGACGAATGAATTCTCTTAGCGATGGATGAGCATTCATCAACGAATGGGTGATTGCAATTTAAACTCGGTACTTGAATCACATTTTTTGCTTTCAGGAGTACTTTATTTTTTTTCGGCCACTGCTAGTTTTGCGGCAGACGAGGACATCAAGCTGGTTGTTTTCTTTTGCATCCTCATAAGTTATATGTTCAGGGGAAGCGGCGTTCAGATGCCTTCTGAGCGTCAATACCTGATCCCGTTCAATGACGGGAAGGGTATTATCCACATACTAATCTAGAATTTCAGTCTGACGTGATTCACCGTTTCATCGTACTTGCTTTGCAGGCCACAGATT